AAAATGACTTCTAAGTTCAACCAATGAAAAAAAAAAAAGAAAGAAATAAAGAAAAAAGAAACAAGAAAAAAAGACAAAAAGAGAAATTGACTACACATAGGAAATTGTGACTGCCACGACCAAGTCATGGCTAATTGCCAATAATTTTCCATGGTTTCAAGTCATTTTAAAGAATTTTAATTCAATACATTGCTACAAATGAAAAATCCTATATATATATATATAACTAATAATTTATTCTAGAATATCAACAAAGTTTCAATAAATATGAAGTTGGGTTGGTGTGAGAATAATTATTTAAGCAAGAATTCGAAAATTTTTTTGCAAATAATTCGGAACATGCATTGATGGTTAATTAGTATTCCCTCGTATTTTTTTTAAATGTCATTCTAGCTTTATCCAACTACTATTAACTAAATAAATGTCGTTTTAGATCTTTTGTACATATTTTTTTATTACCACCATCATTTAGCTAATAAATACATTACGTTTTTTCATATTTACTCTTCACTTTTTCCAAAACATTCATCTCTATCTTCATTAAATAAAGTTATTATTGACAAAAAAAATATTCTTAATTAATGTACAATTTTTTAAAACGACATATATTAAAAATAGGAGATAGTAGTATTTACAATAATATTGTTGAAAAAAAGTGTAGAAATATCCACAAATGTCATCATGATATATGAGCACAATATGCACAATAATTTTGCAAAAAAATTATGAGCAAATTCTTCAACAAAATGTCCTTTTTTGAAAAATGCTTTTTAATTGAGTAATAATAATTGAATGGATTCTTATGCATTGACACCAAGGCAGATGATTTGAAAAGATTGCAATTTGTTAAATTAGATGTTGACAGGCTAATTTTCATTTACTTTTCTCACTATTTAAATTGAATTAATCTTCACTCAGGGTTAGTCTAACTTTTGGAATTAGTTAAAACCTTGGGGGGTCGTAGAAGAAAAAAAATGAAAATTTGATAATGAAATCCCTTTACAAAGGCTTCATATCTACGGTCCCGTTACGATTCCGTCGGGGTTTATAACCGTTTTAAAATGGCTCCATATGAATATAGGGAGATTTTACGGTCCGTTATGGAATTATTCCGTCGGGGTTTGTAACTGTTAGATCAACTATCAACGAGAGTTACATGATAATCTAGTGGTTACAAATCCCGACGGAATGGTTCCGTAATATATATATCTAATGAATATATATCTCCCATGAATATATATATCTAATGAGAAAGTATGACATCACCTGCACTTTCAGAAAATGCACACTAAATTCCAGTTTATATCCACTGGACATACACACACTACTCAACAAATAACTTAGGCAAAAATA